CTCTCTCTCTCTCTCTCTCTCTCTCTCTCTCATACCCCCATGCGCCGAACACCAAGAATAAGCAGAAGATGAAGAAGCAGCATCTGCAGCAAGGGGGGTAGTTTCCCTTCTCTTCCCTTCGCTCAATGGTTCTCTGTATGATCATTGCATCTTCGCCCGTTTCTATTCACATGCTCGCCACCTTTTTCCACGAGGATCGATTGGATATCTTGTCCCACCATGCACTTAGACTCTTTCTGGACTGGATGAGGGACCCTTGTCCCGCCGCAAAGAGGCGATCGGTGTAAGGCAGGTGCGAAATGTCTGCCATGGAGCAGAAACTACCTGCCAAGTACCCGTTCTTTGACAAGTGTTGTTCATACACATCAAGCACCTGCTCGAACTTCTCCGTCAGCTCCTTCACTTTACTGTCATCCGTCGTCCCTCCGAACATCGGTTTGAACAGTACCTCTGCGACAATCCCAGAGCAGAGGGGATTGTACACCTGTGCCTCCACTTCCAGCCACTGATCCACCCGCCCCTTCGCTTCCACAGAGTCGCCAAGCAGCTCGCCGCCCACCTTGCTGTGCTTGTTCAGTATGTACCTCATTATGGCTCGCGACTCTGTCGCACCACCGTGATCATGACCATCCATCCATTCCCCCCAAAGACACAGAAAAGAAAACGAGCAATCAAGAAAGGAAGCAAAAACAGAAGAAAAAAGAAAGGAAAAAAAAAATTGGGGAAAGTACTTTCAAGTCACACCCCATGTTCAGAATGGGTAACTTCAGCAGTTCCCAAAAAATGGCAAAAAAGGCAACCCTAAAACTGCATTCACTACAGTGGCTATTGACTCGAGCAGTTTTAAAGCAGCGCTGAACTTGGACATTTTCAAACTCACAACATGACTACAGCACCGTTTTCTCTTTTCTTGCCTATTGCAAGCTAAAAGTGTCACACAGCCACAGTTTCCTCACAAACGAAAGGAATGAATGAATGGAGGAGGAGAGAGAGGAAGGGAGGCAACATAGTCAACCATTCTTTTCTTTGGCTGGGTTGGGCCCCTGGGGGGGGAATGGGGGAGGAGGAGGCGGGGGGGGGAGGGGGAGGGGCGGGCCGCCGAGGGGACCCACGGGAGGTAGGTAGTCCAGACTGTCGGTCCATAGTGCACACTGCATGGGGATTTCAACTTCAAAAAAAGCAATCAGTTGATTGCATATCAACATCACACCACTCTCAGACTGACATGTACGTGAAAGCAAAATGCCTGCCTTTATTATATTTCCCCTCCCGAGCTCGGGGCTATTCCCTGCCTTATCTGTCGGTTGTGTGGTACATCTCCGTCGTGACTGGGGACTGAATTACGAAAATTGTTTGCGGTTATTAATCCCGGTCATTACATCCAGGGATTCCAGGCCAACAAACAGGGATTTCGGGCCTCGTTCGACACCACTACAAATGTAAGGATTCGTAGAAAATCGTCGTTCCACCACACCCTAATGACGGAAAAAACGAACTCTGAAACGTTTCCACACTTTGGCCTGTTAGGGTCCGGCCCTAAAAAATAAGGGCAGCCCAGGCAAAAGGACAAAAATCTCTAGGGAGGCCCCAGAGGTGACTTGAAATGTGAGGGTTTTTCCCTAGGGAGGTGGTTGAAACGGTTTTCACCTATTAGCAGTAGCGAATGCAGATCCCAGGGCTCGATCCCTAGTTCTCACCTTATCTGTGTACAGTATCTGTGTCGATCCCGAGTGTTTGAACCCGTGACCTGTGTTTTGACAGTTGTGGTTGTCTGTCGTAGGTCTGAGTAGTGGTAGGGGTTCAATCTGTAGGTCTGTCAAGTAGAAGTCTTAGGGAGTTCTAGAAGTCCTAGCTGTAGAGCTTCCGAAAGGTCAAGGTCGTAGCTGCTACAGTCAGGAAGGGTCAAGGTCGTAGCTGCTACAGTATCGAAAGGCCAAGTCCACGGCCTTCCGGAAGGTCCTAGCAGTGGCCTCAAAAAAAAAAAAAAAAAAAGAGGCAAGTGGGCAAGTGGTGGAGTCTACCCGTGCTGAGTCAGCAGTCCCAGTCCCAGTCAGTCCTAGTCCAGTCCAGCAAGTACCGTACGGGACTGGGGGCACCACGGGCATGGGAAAGGGCCAGACCAACGAGCTACAGAAGTGTAAATCAAGAGGCAGTGCCCAGCCATTCATTCATTCCAGCGTGAGCCATGAGGAAGCGCTGTCATAGCGACTTGCGCGAGGTGGTCTGCAGTGAGCCCGAGGACGAAGTGGGCGAGAAGGAAGTTAGCCATAGCGATAGAGTAGTAGCGGCCATATCCGCCATAGCTGTAGGTGTGTGTGGGTGTGTGCGAGTGTGCAGAGTGATGCGTGTGGGGTATCCAGGGTGATCCTGTGTGCGAACAGCAGTGTCGAGTGAGTGACGAACAGAGAGTTGTACAGGCGATGTGCCGCCATAGCCAGTGGAAGTGAACTTGTATCTGAACTGAGTTCTTGGTACTATATCTCTGAGTTCTGAGTGGGCGCTTGACGCCAGTTTGCTGCGCAACCTGTTTGTATACATGTGAAGTGTGAATGAATGCGAGTCTGATTGCACTGGTATCGGAGCTGGTACCCGCTATCCCATTCGCCATCCCCGTTGTAGCAGGAGAGAGACGCGTGCCGTAGGGCACCACAGTTGGAGAGCGCCACCGTGAAGAAGTAGTCCGCCATAGCTCCGCTGAGGAAGGAGGTGCCGCGTACCTGCCAGGAAGACAACGACGAAGAAGACACACACACACACACACACACACACACACACACACACACACACACACACACACA